CTTGCGCTGCTGGCGACTGTTCTCCTGCCTGTCGATTCTGGCGTCTCCCAGCTGCTCCATTACCTACAGAAAAAGCCGGTAATAACAGGATTTGTTATGGGCTTTTTTCACAGCTGACATTTTCACTTGTCAAACATGGGTGTAACTAATAACATTAAGATTAGGAGCATCAGTGCCAAGGCCCCAATGCTATGCATGCTGGCCCACTGGCATGGCTTACTGGCACACCTAGCAACATCATTTACGTTATTGGTCACACTTGTGCTTTTCTCCTGATATGTGTGAATGTCTGCAGTGAGAAACGTTCATTGATTCACATGGAGAAATTTAGATTTATGCTGCTCACTTCCAGAGCACAGGTAAGCTACAGAAGCAGGTTGAAATCTGCAAATGATGGACAGTTTGACATTGTAACACATGCACATATGAACTTAAGGTCTTCCAGTGAGAGGTCCCTACCAATCACAGCACACAGATCGCATTGACTGTCAGCTAAGATAATGCAGTTTGTGTTCGGTGTACCTGGTTGAGCTCCATGTTGATCTCATCAATCCTCCTCTTGGCCATCTCCACCTCCTCAGTCAGCTCCTCCTCCATGCGCTTCTGCTCATCCAGTGACTGCCTGGAGGGGTAACAGGACATGAGTGTGTGAATGAGGGAGTATAACGGAGACACCTATTAAATCAATACATTGAACAATGCGAGCTGCATACCTGCTGGTGGAAATATAATCCTCTAATTTCTCAATACGTTTCTGGTTTTCCTCAATTTCACGGATCTTCTGTTTGATTTTGGCCTGGAGAGAAACAACATAATATACGCTTACATGCATTCAAATCAGTGCGAGTCAGTTTGTTCTGACACAGGGAAAACCTGCCATCATTATCTTTTTTTTTTTTTTACCTCTGTCTCCACTTTCTTCCTCTCCTCCAAGTCCAGGCGGTCCTGGTCGGCCTTCTGGTCACGGTTGAACTTCTCCAGCTCCTGTGCCAGTGTAGCAGCACGTTTACTGGCTTCCTCCTTCAGACGATGGTACTGCTTGACCTGGACAGGAGAGAGAAACCGTTTGTGGTCGTGATTAGTCACTTCAATTTTTAACAACCATTTATTAGACATCATAAAAACCCGAGATGCAGTTCACACACATCAAAACCTGAAATTTACATGTGCTAGCTTTCCAGTTGTGCCTTTATCCTAATGCCAAACCACTACATGCATTTTGAGAAGCCTACAAAGTCAGCTAGGACATTAAGCATAAAGTTCTTTACTGCAATATTAATTCAGAGTAAACAACTCCCTGAAGAATAACAGGAATAAACTCAAATAGATCTGAAAGTAAATTTATACTTTTTGTTTACAGTAACATGGAGCACCAGTTGTGTCAGTTTAATAAAAAAGCGGCAGCTGATCATTGAAATGAGGAGCCACTAAACATCTTCAACCTCCTAACATATCAGACCTGGTTTTCCTCCAGGGTGAGGTCCTGGCCCTGGCTCTGCGCCTCCTCCTCCATTCTCTCCTCAAACTCTTGCTTGGCCAACTCCACCGCTCTCATCTCTTTATCCAGCTCATCCATGTCTCCCTTGCGTTTCTTGTACATCTTCTGGGCATTTTGCAACGATTTGCGCGCCGCCTCAAGCTTCTTGATCTTGTGTGAGGTGTTCTCTTTGGCCTTGATGTACTGTGGCCTCTTTTGGTTCAACTCAGAGTCCTTCTCTCTGTGGAGAGAGCCACATGATTAACACAGGACAAAGGGTCTATGCATGTGCATTAAGCAAACATGACGAATCCTTCATGTCAGTCACTTACTTGATTTCTTTCTCAATAGTCTGCTGTTCCCTCATCAGCCTGCCGAGCTCCTTCTTCTTGTCCTTCAGCTCCTCCTCCACATGGTCCATCTTTTTACGGTCCTTCTCAATCTCCTTGTTCCGCTGGCCCAGCTCTTTGTTCAGCTTCTCAATCTCGGTCTCATTGTGGTACAGCTTGAAGAGCTGCAACTGAACACTGGCCCTGGCTACTTCATCCTTCAGACGCTGGTAACGCTCAGCCTGGTAGCGTAATGGTAGGAGATACACAATCAGTGGGATGAGAAATTTTATGTGTTTTGTATAATAATGGCGTTTACTGGTGGCCAGTTAAACCCCCACTGAGATTAAGATTCTCTTTTAGAAAAGGGTCCTTGCCAAGATAGGTAATTACAGTGGGTCTCAGAAAAATAACAGAAGACAGATAACAGATAATCGACATCTGATCGTAATCAGATGTCAAAACTAATGAGATGCTACAACAACTATTAACTAAGTTTCTCTGCAGGTCAAATTCCTTTTACAGGAAAATAAACTTCATAATCACACGGCAAAATTTAAATGAAGTATTTAATTTCCAACCCAATCAGAACTCAAGCATGAAAGTAACTGTCGAGATACTGTATTTGCAATCAACACAAAGGACAAACCTCCTCTTTCTCTTGCTTGGCTTCTTTGCGCTCAGCGGCAATGTTTTTCTTGCGATGATAATTGAACTGCGTGTCCTCTTCTGCTTTCACCATCTCCTTCTTCCTGCGGTCGTATTCCTGTGCCAGCTCACCGGAGCGAGAGATCTCCTCAAACAGAGCTGTACGCTCCTTAGGGTTCTTCATGGCAATGGACTCCACGGCTCCCTGGAGGGGGAGGGGGGGGATAAGGAGGGAACGCAACTGTGATTACCAATAACAACTGCCAACACCATGTTACCAGCTATTCATTTTACACCAGCAAAAATGATGCCCTGCTGTGATTGACCAAGTCACATTCAAAGCTGTGAAGGCACATGCCTGACTATATTAACTGTTTCTACCACAAAAAGTACTGGCATTAAGCAAAACAAATCTAGCACACTGACAGGGATATACTGTTTGTCATAAGAATAACTTATAATCATCAATGATTCAGAATTGTCAATTAAAAATAAATGCAACTTCAAACAATGATGAGCAACACTTCTTATCGGTACAGAGATGCGATCACTGTGACAGCAAACCTGTTCTCAAGAACACCAATGAATACATTTCTCTTTAGAAAACATTTTGAGGATTTGAGTCTGACCTGAAAGACCAGGAAGTTCCTGGCTTTGATCAGGATTCCAAGTTTTTCCAACTCCTCACTGTATTCAGGTAGGCCCACCACCTTGTTGTTGATGCGGTACTCAGAGGAGGAACCTGATGAACGCGCCACAGGCACATTCAAGGAGATAAAACACCAGAAACATTAGCTCATCAAAGCACACACAGGATGGCAGCAAAGGTATTTCATGAAACGTGTCCAAGGAAAGACAATTGTAGCATAATAAAACATATCTGAACATATTATAAAGTGTCGTCTGAATAACTTTGATAATGTAATACTAGAAGCAAAGTGCTACAAAGCAGTCACCAGAGCCTGATTACAGATTTAAACTGGATCTTGGTAAATTTTTAGGTGTATGATGGAGTCAAATTAAATGCGAGTGTGACAGAGTCTCAGCATGGTTTGAAATTGGGGCTCTTTCATAGACAGAGTCATGGCAGAATTTTAAGGAAACATTAAACTCATGTTCTTTCAATTCAATTCCTTCATCTTTGGTCAACTGGAGAACAAACACACATGGAATAGAATCATAAAATACATGAACAGCTAAGAACACGCCTTGTGATTTCTGGCAGAAATTAGTAAAGCAACCGAACCATACATTCCAACACAACTGTCAGTGGGGGTTCATACCAATAATGACCCTTGTGAAGGAGCGTTCCTCTCCGTTATCTTCCTGGTAGACCATGCTGACAAAGGCTCTGTTGGCGGCTGGCTTCCCTACAGGCGCTCCATGGATAAGATCCTTCAGTGTCTTCACACGCAGGTTACTGGTCTTCTCTGCCAACACGAAGCTGATGGCATCCATAAGGTTGGACTTTCCTACAACAAGAGTGTTTAGGTTTTCAGTATCGCACATGAATCTAATATGGAAAGTAAAATATAAACTGAGTGAGCTGTTTATTTGAAACATTTGTACAATCTGATGGTGTGACCCAAAACAACAGTCCTGCAGTAAAGTTTATCCTCAAGACTTTTAGAATGTGAAGTTTCATGTTTGATCAGAGGACAATTGTTGGTTGTTGACTAAATAAAAGTCAGTTTGTTGTGATGCTGCAGAGCTCTGACTCATACGACATTGACCTCCTCCCGTGTGAAGCAGAATGGACTATCTATGTTCACAAAGATAAACCATAACTTTGTCAGCGAAAACTTAACTGTTGCAGTATTAAAGTTTTCACAGACAAAAGGAAAGTTGGATCATTCATATAATACATTCATGGATATAAACGCGTACAGCATTGTACAATCTGACCGTTACAAATTACACTGAGTGCAGAATTGTAGTATGGGAGATAGTTAGTTTAGATAGTATGATGCACACAGACATGAATGTAATTATAATTTGTGGTGGTAAGACAGCGGGGCATTAGTGTACTGTTTACCGTAAGCCAATGCTAACAAGCTGCCTGCATTCTGCATTAGCCGCGATCATAACATACCTGATCCATTGGGTCCAATGATTGCAGTAAACTTGTGAAAAGGTCCAATGATCTGTCTTCCTTTATACGACTTGAAGTTTTCAATTTCTATGAGTTTTAAATAGCCCATCTTCGTTATATTTGTGTCGCTGTTCTGAGAAAAACTGCACAGTAAATATTAGCAAGTAAAATGTTGCTAATGCTAACAACCAATGTACACCGAACAAGCAACCTCAAAGACGAAGAATGCGCGCAAATGAATGAATCTCCGTTCAATCTATTGCAGGCCTATGCATAAGTCACATGATTAAGTGCATGTTTAGTTTAATAATCTGAACATCTCCATAATCTTAATCAAATAGCCGCGATGCAGTTGTGACAACAATGCGCCATTTTACAATCCGACAGGAAAACCCTTGAGCGCGCGAGACACGAAACATCGTGTTTTCTCGCGAGACGCAGTTAAATTGCCCGGAGTACAACTGTGTTGTGTAGAAGGCCCCACTAACGATAAAGTAGTATCGCTTACATTATAGATGTATGTTTATTCTAGAGAGAATATGTGTTTTGTACAAGTGCACCAGTCACCGTCTGATTGATTTATTTCTTATATAGCATAATATGTTGAGATGTTACCATGGTTACCAAGGGCATCCAAACACAACAGGACTCGAGCAGTGAAGCAGCTTCTTTCGCCTCCACATTGGTCTAAAGTCTTCAGATTAATTGAAAATTGAGGTGAGTGTTTGCTTTAGATCTATGAGAACTGCCTGTCTTTAAAGAAAATACAGCTGAATTGAAGAACTTGCTTCAAGCCTATATAGTCACCTCTCAGGGAAGCCTCTCCAAGTTTTCCTGTGCGATGTTGTCAAGTACCAATTAATCCACCAGTGTGTGCTTGTTAACTCAGGACAATAATCTATCTCCAACTGTAATGGTAGCTTTCATTGGAGGAAACTAAGAAGCCTACATTTAGTATTAGTACTGCACTTCAGTACAATTTTGAGGTAAAAGTGCAGTAAGAGTATCCCAACCTATTTTGGAAGCAGTTTCAAGTATTTTCTAAAACAGTCACATTTATGTGTCCCCTCCCTCCAGGCTCACTAGAAACAGTGACCATGTACAAAGTGGATTTGCCTGTAGATCAGTCCATTGAAAAGGCTGTGGAGAGGCGAAGGTCTGCAGCGACAGCTCGCAAGGCCAGAATCTTCAACACCAGGCTACGTGTGATGGGCCTCGACCTTGATGCTCTGAACCAACAAGTCCAGGAGAAAAATCATAAGGAAAACATGGAGAGACAACGACACAAAGCTTTCGGTAAACTGTGTGTGATAGAAGAGGCAGGGAGGGGCCAGAATTAGATTAAATTCACCCAGGCACATCACTATGAATACTGGATTCCCTTTAAGAATATTGACTCCATTTATAAAATCACCCTTAACCACTAATGAGCATTGATCCCAGGTGTATTTATTTTCATTATATTGCAGATAAGCTGAGAGAGTATCATGATGACATACTGCTGCAGCAAGACATTGATGAAAGAGAGAGGCGGGCAGCTTTGCACACCGACCTGGCCCAGTATTGGACCAGTCAGCAGCGTGTGGAGGACTCTGATGATGCTGATCTCAAGTGTGGCCTGAAGGGGGCATTCAGGATCACCATTCCAGAGGGTGAACTGGGGCCTGCCAGCATGCAGATCTTTCAGGTAGGCTCCCTGTGATTGGCAGTTGCATGGTGTGCATCAGGAGCAGTGGAACAAAATCCAGCAAAGGGTTAAATAAATAATCACATTATCCCTTGAGCACTGTATCCTTGTTTCATGTACAGGGAGAGGGTATCAGAGAGGAGCAAACGAGGAGAGAACAAATGAAACAGACAGAAAGAGATCTGCGCGCGCAGAAGGAAGACAATGCAATAAGACACATGGGAAACAAGCACAAAGGTGAAAGGAGACAAGCACGCACACAGGAACACCCACACACGGTGTAATCACTGATGAGCTTACACACTGTATGCTATAGCTTCTGTAAATCACACACATGCTTCATGCTTTCCTGCACAAACAATCACACACTCCTACGCACAGCCCTGACTACCAGGTGGCATTGATGGATGCTCATCCCAGAAAGCCGTTATGTATGTGTGAGTGTGTTGTTGAAGAGCTTTGTGCAGTGGGTATTGGCTAATGCATGTGTGAAAAACACAAAGTAGGTGACTTCCAACTCGTGTGTGTGTCACAGAGATGCTTGTGAGCAGAGAGCTGGTGCACCAGGACCTAAGGGGGGTTGAGCAAGCGGCTCAAGAGGAGGAGCGTAAGAAAGCTGCCCGCATCGCATACGACAACTACAATCAAGCTCTGGTACAGTACATGCATGTGCACGCACAGATGGACACATTCACACTCATACACAGACACATACCACCTGCTGATGTGAATGCTCAAAGCAAAATCCAGTGGGGTTTTCAGCTGAGACATGGTGTTCTCAGGTGGGATTTTAAAATTAAAATTGCTAATTGAAAATGCTAAGTGAGGCATGCACACACTTGCTGCATGAAGGCGGCCATCATATTTGGTGGTACCAAGCAACATGGATGGTTAAACTGCTTTGATGTATGCGGGGGCCTTGTCTGTTTTTAAAAGCCTCCACTTAGCTCTCCCCTCATTTGCCTGAATGCACTCAACCGAATCCTCCATTGGGAGCCATCATTACATGTCCTTCAGGTCATGGTATTTTTTGACAGTTTTGTGGTTTCTCTAATAACCACTCACATGCATGATGCACAAGCAAATGCAAGTGACTGATTTGATCTCTCAGGAGGACATTCACCATATGGCTGATTCTTGACTGTAAGCCAGAAGTAACCACATACAAGAGGTTGGGTTTCGTAAAGCGGCTGCTATTCCAGTCATCAAGGGAATGATCAATCAACTGTCCCTGGATCTCTGGCAAGGCCTCACCAAGACCTGTTCCCCACAGGCTGCAGAGCGGGCAGAGAAACTGAAGCAGCAGCACAGGAGAGAGGAAAGGGAGAACCTTGCAGAGATGTGGCACACACTGACGTCTGACATGATGACAGAGTGTGCAGAAACAGCAAAGAGAGAGGTGGGAGGAGGGAAGCCACCCCAGTTTCTGACTGACAGGTGGAAGGGGATGAGCCCCGAGCAGCTGAGCGCCATCCGTGGGGAGAGAGAGGAACAGTGCCGTGAGAGACAGGTACTGGAGTCGCCCTTAAACACAATGCACCCCCCATACACAAATGAGCAATTCATGGACAGGTCACATCTTATTCTGCTCCGAGCTCCACCTCAGTTCTACCTCTCTGCACATTTCCTTCAAATCTGTGGTTCTAGAAAAATTTGATTTATGACCCCTTAAAATAAAGTCACAGATGGCTCATAAATGAAGGGAAAAAACTACATAAAATGTCTGAGTAAGGTGTTGAGCCGCCATGAGCCTCCAGACTCCAGCATTCACATTCATATTCCTTTATTTAGTCTTTTGATATTGAAGTGCTGTCTAACACACTTGTTCAAAACGTCCCATTGGTTTTCAGTACAGTTGAGATCTTGTGATTGTGAAGGCCATAGCACATGATTTACATAATGTTCAAATTCATCAAAACATTCAGTGACCCATTGTGCCCACTATGGATCTGAATTCATTATATTTCTCTGCTAGTTTATTCAGGTTTTCCCTTTTAATTTGAAACCCATCTCTATGTCTACTTGTTAGTCTGTCTTCACAGAATACTTAGTTATTATTCTTTCTCAGATTAAAAAAACTTTTCAGAGGCCTAAAGTGATAAAAGGATCCAGTGCTTCAAGTTTGAAAAAAATAAACCTAATTTTATTCAGCAGAAAAAATGTCTGCCTTCTTATCCTATTAACCATCTTGGAAGCCCTCGGATTTATCTTGCAACCCTTTGGTCAGGTCCTAACCCCCACGTTGGGAACCACTCAAGGTCGTAGGTTTGCATATGGAAGGTAGGGACATGTCCCTACCAATATTTTGGGAGGACAAAATTGTCCCTGCCAATATTTGGTAAACTCGTTCGCACTATGTTTGGAGTGAAGTCACATTACATCATTCCAATGTGCCCTCCAAGAGGCTACATCTCCAAGACAACCGATTTAGGCATGCTAGCATTTGATTGACTGAAGAGGCGGGGGCTATCTGAAGGCTCACGTCATGTGAGAGTATCATCGTGGTAGTCACAAGAAAAATGTCACCTGATGTTATTTAACCATGTGAACTAGAGTTATCTAGTAAGCTAACCCTGACTTCTGTCTTCTGTAGGTTAGCAGTCTGGTTGCTAGCAGGAGTACACATAAAATGTTGGATATATCAAAGTATGAGTTTAATTTCTGTTGAAAAATCCCATGAAAATGTCACCATGAATACTATGACATTTTTATGCCTTACTATACTATGACTCATTATTAATAATGATAATAGTAATACATTTTATTTGGCAGCGCCTTTCACAGCACTCAAGGACACTTTACAGAAGATTAAAAACAATTCAACAACTATTATTCCTTATGACATTTTTATGCCTTACTATACTATGACTCACATGTACATATATTACATTTGTGTATGGGCATTCCTGAACGTAATTTCAGACCATATGTTAATAAACCATTTGGTTGACGGCATTAAAAAGCCAACCTCTTTGTTTTGGAGGGTTGGCGGGGTTGTTGCATCCCTACCAATGTTGAAACCAAACCACTCCATAAAAACTAAAAATGTGTTAAATCTGGTGTTCCACATAGCAGTTCCACTTAGGTTTAGCATTTAGACCTTTATTTCTTGCCATCTTTAGAGACAACAGGACACTAAGAGGATTCAGGATGCAGCGTGGGACCTTCAGCTCCTGAAGCTGTCCAGCGAAGCAGAGGAGAAGGAGACAAGGGCAGCAGAGCTGAGGAGACAGAGGAGGATTCAGATGGACCAGTACAACATGCAGCTGGCCAGAGAGCAGCAGGCATAGTGAGCACTGCACATATACAGAAAATACACTCACTATCCAGGCAGTATAGTCGTATTTTGGATGTAGGTGATAATGTAGAATTCAGATTTAAATAACCATTTTTGGAGTAAGTTAATGACTGTGTGTTTATTTGTGTGTCTGTCTCCCCCAGTCAGGAGTACCTGAACAAGAAGCTATACACCAACAAACCCACTAAGGACTACTTCTATCAGTTCAACACCAGCTCCCGCTGACCATCACACACCTTACACAGGCTTGTCCTCCTGTCACAATGTGCTAATAAAATCTATTGATTGTTATACTCGCACTCAATGAGAATTGAATCCTAATTAATCAATGCTTACTGCTTAATCTTAAGTGACACATATTCATTGATTTTATTGGCTGATACTGGTGACAATAAAGGGAACCTTTTTTGGTACAGATTGTTCCATGTACTTTATTTTTCAGTCATATATCCAGTTACAGTGGTAGATTCATAATGCAGTTACAGTTATATTGGCCCCATGGTACAAGTCCATCCAACTCCTGACGTTCACCCAAGATACATATAGATACCATCAGTCCCATTACGCTAATTGTGCACCCCACACACCACATAGAGGCACATCTCCACCCCAACAGGGACACACGCGCCGAGCCCCTCCCCTCCCCTCCCCTCTCAGGCATTGTTGTTTAATGTCTGTCTGTTTTTCTGAGTTATGAAGAGGCTTCTCTAAATGAACCAATTCACTTTTTGAAAGGTTTTTATCTTTTAACTATAAAAAGTGGGGAAAACAATGGTGGAAAAGCAAATGCCAGCATCCCTGGCTTTCCCCTCGACACATGAAAAGCAAAGAGTGAGTGGCAGTCGAGTGAGTATCTGTGTGTGTACACTCATTCCTCATTCAAAGCTAACATTTGCCCCGAACACTGACAAACACAGATGTTTAGCAGCAGATAGTCAAGTTAGAATATTGGCATATTTTGTGTCATTCATTGCTCCTGTATGAAAATAGATTTTTTTAAAAGCTTTATTTGTCCTGAGTGTGTCTGTATAACCAACAACAGGGAGCTTACACACACCTCCATCAGTGCCACTAGCCATTTTAGACATCCCATATTCTTTACCTCAGGGGCTGTCAGGTGATGTTTGGCCAGTGTCAAGCTTTTATTTGTGTAGGGAGAACTGAGACAGCAGCGTTGCATATAGATGCTCCCTGTGGTGTGCACAAACTGGCTTGCTGCATCCCTGCTTCAAACAACTGCATCAGACAAAAACGCCACAGATATTCACTGCACTGCAATGCATTGCTGGATGATTATGGGCATGAATGCATTCTTAGTTTTCATCGTAATGTAACTACTACTATCACTAAATGACACTAATGTACAATTTTTTGATTTTCAAATTTTGAAATGTTTGTAAACATCTACAGAACAATGTAGGATTTTTTTTCCTTTTTTCATTTTTTTCTTTCCTCAACTATGAGCTAGTTTTGCTAAATCTGCCAAATCTTACTGCAGTCATTAGTTCAAAAATGGAAAGTTTGAATTCATAGCAATAGTACAAAGAAGAAAAGGTACAGCTTGCAACATTTTAAAATTAAGTGATTTTAAACCTGCACATTTTTCACATTTTTTATCAAACATGGTGGGGTTCATCAAAACAATCTTTAAGGGTTGTATTTACATTCAGTGGGGGAAAAAAACTGTCCTTCCAGGTCATCTCGTTACCATTCTTCTCTCTCCTGTACCTTGTAGCTCAGATTTCTTTTATCAGTAGCATGTAGATACAATGTCTACCCAGCACTAAAAAGAAAATACATTCTCCGCGTTTGATGCAAATACCAACTGTTTGCCTTTATTATACATCAACTGGCAATCATTACGCCTGTCTGCAATGTCAACTTGCATTGATGAAGGTCTGAAAATAAAACTTGAGAGAGTGTTTGCCCACAAGACTCCACTCTCTAATCTGTAATATACATAAATACTGCTCCTCAAACAATTCGCGTAGTATGAGATGAACAGGTATGAAAAGATTGTTAATTAGAGACAACAATGTTTTTAATACAGTGTAGAAAGAGACAAAGACAGATACAGAAAGCTACACATAGGTCTCGACACAAAAAATTACAATATCATTTCCAATAATGACATTACACTTCTGGTGGGAAGGCGAGAGAGTAATGACATCAATCTGGTGCTCTATGCAGACCCAGCAGGCACAGGAACATATAAGGAGCATGTACATATCTATAATACTGTATTATGGCTAAATAGATAGATGTAGATGCAGCTATATACACCAGATGCTACTCAGCATCTTCACAGCAAGTTCCCCTTAATGCATCCAATGTTATTTATAGTAAGAAACTTGGCTTCACTTAGTTTCAATGAAAACATCTTGATCTATGAAATATGTCAATAAAGAGAAGTCATGAGCTTTATATAAATAGTGTAGAACACAATATGAAAAAATGATGATAAAAATAAAAATGTCCGACAATGAAAAAGGATGTTTTTTTTTTGTTGTTTTCAAACACATAAAAAAATAAAAATGTAAAAAAAATGTCACTGGCACATACAATCTGAGACATCAAATGACGTTAGACACACAAAATCATGTGTGAAATAAGTCAAGACATGATAAATATCTACGTTATGAGACTTGGTACAGCAGCATGTGCTGTCTGTTTCCCCACGCTTCATCTTCCCCTTTCAGTGTACTACTCTGCGTCTCGATAGGACTCTGATATTTTCTACCTGTCCAGTATTCTGTCTTTATCTTTCTAAAGAATTGGTTGCTGAGAGAAAGAGAAAGAGAAAGAGAAGAAAGGGAGAGAAATGAATGTTAGTCGTTTAGATTTGTTGTAAACTACACAGATAAAGGAGGGTGAGGGGGTCAGAGGACATCTTCAGGTCAGTCAGACTTGTATCATGTTGTCCACTACTTTGGACACTCCTTTGGTCAAAATAGTCCAGTCGACTCAGATGACTGCCAAGGGCATCTGAATGGTCAATATATTGATTGTGTATTAGTCGTCAGAGTACAGATCAGCAAGTCAGTAAGGAACAAGAGCATATGGGCACGAATGTGTTGACATGTTTTGGTCTGATGGTCCCCGATGGATGGGTGTGGGGGGGGGGGTTAATCGAGGATGGTGACTGAGTTGGGCATGCCGTTAGTGGCTGAGGAGACGGTGGTGGGGTTGAGCGGAGAGCTGTCTGGCAGGCCATGGAGCACCTCCGGGCCCTCGCTGGGCCGACTGAGCTGGCTGACCAGAGACTCATCCATGTTGAGCTCCGTGGTCATGGCACTGCTGCCATTGAAGTCAAGGTTGTCCTCGCTGCACAGCTTGCTCTCCTCGCACAGGGACGCCTGGCTGGCCGTGTGTTTCTCCTCAAGATCACTGAAGTACGTGAGCAAGAAATATTATCATAAGGCATGTAAAAAACTTAATACGATCTGATCACATCTTTATTTAGCAAGACTCTTTTTTTCCCAAAAAGCAGCCTTCAGCATGCCAACATCCAAGCTGAAAATACAGAATACTACAACTACGACTATTTTGATAATCAACTAATCTTTTTTTTCCAAGCAAAATTACTAAAAACAAATTGATAGTCCCACATTCTTAAATGTGATAATTGGTAAATTGAATATCATCGGGTTTAGGGTATTTTCACTGTCTTCTAATGTTGTATAGACCAAATGATTCAGTATATACATCATACATTACACTATGATTATACCAAATGTTACAGGCAAAGCAGTAGCTGAAGCACTGGCAGGGGACAATAAATAATAATAGCAAATCACATCACAGCATACCTTTCTAGAGATCTGCAAAGCAGGGGCAGGCATTGGGGAGAAGAGGGACAGTGAAAGGAACACAAAGGGTTAGGAAAACCAAACAGTGCTGAGGGAATAAGGGCCGTGTTGGGAGTTAGAATTTAAAGGATCTATAGAAACATTATGTGAAACTCAAAGAAATGATATGCACTCAGATAACAAACCTGTACTCTCCAAAAGTCTCATCTTTCATAGGCCGTGCCTCCGAGTCCATCGGACCCTCTTCTTTATCTTTCACTGAGAGGGAGAGAGATTATTGGATTTCATTATCAGTGAGATCTCAACCATGTCTCTCTCTAAGCCACTGTCTCAGACATCGATAATGACATCCTGTCAGACAGCAAGATAGCACCTAGTTTATGTACGTGGAACACAAGTATTGTCACTATCTCTAGACAATCGGTTAATTTATGTTGTTTATAGTTTTTCTTTTGACTTAATTTCTTGTCTGTTTTTCAGCGTAATAACTACCATTATGAATATTACTTTAAAATGTTCAAGCTATTTAAATAATTAGTTGTTCAGAAGTATGATGCCAGTGGGTATGGTCAGATACGGTCATGTCTTTAGTACAGACAGAGCCAGCCACTTGCGTCTCCCTTGCGTAGGAAGGGATGAAAGGCTGGTGTTTCTCTCTGACCAGTCAGACGCTGGCCTGCAGGTTGCATTTACTCTTGTGGTTTGTGATTATTATTTCACGGGTCTTTTCAGGGCAGAGCTTCTTCCTTACTATCAAAGTAAGGAAGTGTAAGCTTAGAGGTCCGCTTCACTACATGTTTGATGTGAAGGCTGCAAGGGGAGAAAGTCGGCAAAGTGAAATCGGCCATATATTTGGAGTTGGAGCCACTATAAGAATTACAGAGTGAGGGGAGCTGTTTGGGGAGCATTTTAAACACGGTGTAATCTTATTTTACTGTCTTCTTTCCAGTCAGAATAATCGTGTTTACTGTGGCACTTTCCTGTAACTGCTTGGTTTCTTTTTCTACTGCAGCGTCATTTTCACTATCAGGCATTTTTACGGCTCCAGACTGGCAGTGTTACCCACAAAGTGTGTCAGTTGTCTAACATTGCATTGCTCTTACACACAGGCTTTGAAGGAGAAACAAATACAGTAAATTCTTCTAAACATTCGCTCAAGGCTTCGATGATTCGTCAGCACCAAACAGATTCTTTCAAACTGTTCAACATCTGTACTGATGAATACTTAACACTCATCATGGAGGGCCGCACTTGCCTGAGTACTTTCCCCCTTTACTCCTCTTGATGAAGCAGAGGATGAGTAGTATCAGCAGCAGCAGCACGATGGCGCTCACAACGCCAATGAACCAGCCCTGTGTTGCAAAGCTTGGCTTCACCTCTGTCACGCCTTCAAATGGAAAAACAAGAGGGGGTAGGGGGGTAGAAAGAGAAGAGAGTGAGTTTTTTTTGTGATGGGGAAACGGGATGAAAGTACAAGAGGAGTGAAAAGGATGAAATGGGAAGGAGAGAGAAGATAAAAGACGGAGCTGAATCTAGAGCAAAAGAGACAGAGCAATATGCTTTCTGACAGGGTGACATTTCACCAGGGAACCAAAGAATACAGCAAAATACCACAAACAAACACAAAGTAATGGATCATTTCATATGGCTAACCAAGCTCTCGTTTCACAGACGTCTTTGAAAGCACTTCACAGGCAGTGCTGGAAACTGCAAGACACTCTCTGTAGGAATTGGCTTTATATTTAGATGTGGGAAGCCCAGAGGAGAGCGCAAAGAAGATGAAAGAAAAGAGGATGAATGAAGGCAGAACGCTTATAGTACCTGTTCCTTCTGTCTCAATGTCAGTGTCCCAGAAGGTGGTGTTGCTGTAGATGAAGAGTAGACGATATTGAGAGCCAGGAGTGAGGCCTTGGAGCTGGTAGAAAGACTGAGAGGAGTTCACCTTCTCCGATTTCTTCCAATCACTGCCACCTGCAGAAACACAACACAAACCTCTGTTTCTTTTTTTTTGTTGCTCGGGATTGTGAAACTATTCCCTATGCACATATTAGCGGTAAATATCATACCATTCTTGTTGATGTAGTGGATCTGGAAGCTAACATTCCTGTGTCTCTTTTTGACCACCCAGCTGAGGTTAACCGCATTTTCCCCCACGGACAGGTTGATGTTAGCAGGAGGCGCTGAAATGCATTCAGACAGAGAGACTTCAATTCATCTGGTCCTGTACGAGTCGTATTTGTGACTGTGAAGAACGCGGGTTTTACCTCCATCCAGCGTGGTGGCACCCTCCCTCATGATGGGCTCCCCGTCCCCCGCAGCAGTGCGCCCCCTCAGGTAGAAGCGGTAGTGGCTGTGGCGGTCCAGGCTCTTCAGGGTGAGGTGGGTGACTGTGGGATCGTCTATTGTCTCTACCTGCATGGGGCTGTCATCACTCTCCACAACTGACCACAGCAAAGCCAAAAAAAACATTCCATCAGTACTTGGTCTTCAACACATCGTTATGGGTGACACATTGTTCTGGGTGACATGTGACTGACTGATGAGCATCATTAGGGGTTATGCTTTTGACATTTTCCTGGTGTTATTGATTTAGCTGGATGTATTGCGTGGTGTTATTCATTTTACTGATTTTTTGCACTGATGTCTTTAAAGCCACATAACCCCCGAACCCCATCAAACAAAAGCATTTCCTGTATGTGCACTGGATGGAAAAGGATTAAATGTAAACAATGCTCACTCCGTTGGTATTGCAGTAGATAGCCAATGAGGACTCCATTGGGCTGGCCAGGGGGCGTCCAGTGGAGGGTCATTTCTGACTCTGAGGGGCTGTCCAACATCAGGGACATGGGAGGACCAGGAACTAGCAGGAACACAAACAGGCCTGATTAAAATGGCCTTGATTCAAAGGGCATTATTATACTATTTTGATCTACTGTCACCTTTTTTTCTCCAGATCCTAGCCGCTCAATGATATCTACCCCTGCATCATTTTAACCCTCCTTCTCTTCAGTGCCCTCCACCCAGCATCATTTCCCTCCCTCCCTTCCTTCCATCTTGCTCCATCCTCCGTAATTGAACCTCTTCACCCACTTTATCTATCACCTCTCCCCCATTTTCAGCCTTGCCGCCCCTCCCTCTTCCACCCCTGATTGTTCCCCTCTTCCTCATTCTCACCTCCCTCATCAGTCTTGAAGGACAGTGTCTCCGAGGCAGGTCCCTCTCCCTTGCTGTTGAACACGGTGACGGCCACGGTGTAGTGGGAGTACGGTCTGAGATCACTGATCACCTTCTTCTCCTCGTTAGCCCCAGTCTCCTCCACCACAGTGCTTTCTGACTCCTTGGCCCTCCGGCCTCTGTGATGGCCCCTGGAGCCAGTTCTGGTCAAGTAGATCTGGAGACATTAAAATCAGTAGAGACAAATGATGAAAGAGGAAATCATTTCAAATTTTATAAATATTTCATACACGTCCTATACTTAATGCAATTCGTATTACGACTGTGCAGAGTGATGGGGTATGGCTCGGACGTTGAATGGAACATGCATCAAAGCCCAAAGAGAGAGGAAAGTTAAGCAGTGAGAGTGTGATACATTTTGAAGGTGAGATCAACTAAAATAAAAAAAAAGGCTCTATTCTTCGCAACCTTGAGAACTAAAGAGAACTCTGAAGCCTCTGCCAAGCCAAGACGTGGCTGCCCCTTTCATAAACCCAAAATATCTATTATTCATGAGGACAGGGGCTGAATATGTTAGGCCAAACAACAAAGGAGATACAGGATCAGTACCTTGTATCCCAGCAGGTGTCCTCTGACCGTCTCTCTGTCTACTGCTGCCCAGGTCACTTTGATGGTAGTGCTGTTCATTAGTACAACACCCACATCCATCGGAGCCTCCAGTGGAACTAGAGACGGACGAGAAGGAGATAGATGAGAAAGAATACTAAGTCGACATGTTCCCAGTGAAAGGAGAGCGTATTGCTGAGGAACTGTTTTGCAATTGTATGTCTTTAATATCTTACCATCTTCTCCTGAGTAGCCAATGACCGGGTCCGGCTCGGGTCCCTCCCCCATCTCATTGACAGCCTGAACTTTGATCTCAAAGGCAGAGAAGTTGCCAACGTCACTGACAGTGAATGGTGGTGCCGTCGTGTAGTTGATGTGCCAGTTGGGACCGCTGCCCACCGCTCGCCTCCACAGCACCCTGTACTTGAAGTCAGGTCCATTGAAGTTGCGTTTGTCCATTGCCTGTAGTGATGGGAACAGCAGCCGATAAGACGCCAAACCCTTTTTTTAAATTTGTTTGGTGTTGCTTCAGAATATTGAGCGTTCAGGTAATAGGTGTACCTCCCAGGTGATGACCAGAGTGTCTAGGTCTGTGGACTCACTCCTGACATCTTCAGGGTTATTGTCTGGAGCTGTGAAAAAACAGCTCAGCGTTGTATTTCTCGCAGTGTGTTCAGTGTGACAATGAAAACTTGTTCTTAAAAAAACACTGGCTCTTACCTTCAGCAGGTGTGTTGTGGATTTCAGATGGCTTGCTGGGGTCGCTCTTGCCCACATCATTGATGGCAATGACCCGGAAACGGTAGGACATGTAGGGCCACAGGGGGAGGCTTGCACCCTCTTCGCCCCCTCGTACTCTTTTCAGCTCCTCCCAACCTCTTTCCTTCAAACCTTGGTCCTCAAACTCAACCACATAGTCTGCATACAAAGAGAGTCAAGGACTGATGAGAAAAAACACAGTGAGGAAGAAATAGAGACATAAATAAACACTCAGTGGAGACATACTGAGAGACTTCAGCTTTACAAAGGTCTGATGTTGCAGATAACATAATAATCGTGTCCAAGTATTGAAAACGGAGCAGCCTTTCATTATGCCAGAGGGAGATAAATGATATAGCTTTGTTGCTCTGAGTGTTGGAGTTAGACAAAATGAAATGTTGTATTTTGGCCTTGGTGTGTGTGTAGGTCTGTGTCACTTTGTGGCATTAGTTATCACATTGTAATCACTATCTGTTTAAAAGCAATTAGAACGGGACAGGTGGGCGCAGATGTGTAAGAAAGTGAATTTGCGTGTCTGTACTAAACCTAGCACAGGGCTGTTGTTGTCGTCTCCAGGAGTCCAGTTGAGGGTGACGGCACGATTCTTAGGATCAGTGATCTGCAGGAGGAGGGGAGGGTCTGGACGATCTGAGGGGGACAACAATAATATCATAACCACAACTACCTGCACACCGCCTGTCTCCACTCCCCAAGTTTAAACAAACTTTCTGTAATTTGGGGAAAAAAAAAAGAAAAAAAGAAATTAAAAATACACTGGTTCTTGATCATACAATATGTGATCAGTGATCTTACCATATAAAGTGAGGGTGCCCCTGGCTTCAGCCATGTCCAGCTTAGTGATGACCTGACAGGTGTACATGCCCTCATCTTCCGGTCCTACATTAGCTATTATTAGGTCTGGTCCTTCAAATGTGAATCTGTGGAAGATACAGCCATCATTGTTATCCTCATCTTCCTTCTCCTTTTAATTAAGAAGCCTCCCTACCATTGTCTTGTTATTATCATCATCTCTGCCTCATCATCTCATTTTCTGTCACCACAGAAATTTACTTATTTGTTTGTTTATGAAACTGGGACAATATCGATAAAAATTGATACGAGGTAAAAAAAGTAACAAAAAGAGTTTGTGGCGCCTGTTCCTCGTTATTAAAATCAGGGTAGAACAACTACAGTAAACAAACAAATAGACAAAGCAACAAACAATGAATCATTTCTAACATCATCCCCATTATTGGCAGTTCCCCAATGCAAAGAATATCTCCTCACTTTTCGTCACTATCGGACTCAAACAGCTTCTGATTGTTCTTTCTCCACTGAAGGAGTGGATAGCCGAGTTTGGGGTCAACTTGGGCCAGACAGGTGAAGATGGCTGTGTTTCCAGGCTGCACCTTCAGAGCCTGGGGTGGCGACAGGATCACTGTGCTGTCTGGAGGCAAAAGCAAGGAGACATATGATACTGAGACAGGCTGCAAGAGGTGCAAATAACATAAATAACATCAGCTGTGTGTGTGTGTGTGTGTGTGTGTGTGTGTGTGTGTGTGTGTGTGTGTGTGTCACACTCACTGAGTACTTCCAGTTCTGCACTGACTGACAAGTTGGTGTTCTGTACAGTGCAGGTGTAGTAGCCCTCATCATCATGGGTGACATTAAAGATCTCAAGCCCCCCGCTGGTGAGTGGATTAACTCTAGGATCTGCCAGAAGGGAGGAGGTGCTGACACTCTCCCTGGAAAAGACACACACACACACACACACACACACACACACATCAGAAACTTGACTAGCAGAATAACAAGTAAACCTTTTCAGCTCCTCTAGTGGCTGAATTCACCTGTTAATTTGACACTTTTACCAAGAACAACAAAGCCTGGCTGGACAGCTGCCACATAGATAAAATCCACAGTCACAGTCCAGATGTAACAGCATTTGGCTGCTAATTTATGCATATGAAGAGCTACCTACGCAATGTCACCTCTGTGAAAATTGTTAATAAGAAAATCTGCCAAACAACAAACTAGAATACAATACAATATAAAGCAATAGTCATCCGTCTCACCATGTGACTTTAGGCTTAGGAGAACCAAAGGTCTCACACTCCAGCAAAGCCTTCTGGCCCTCTGTCAATGTGTATAAGGTCCTGTCCTCAGTAAGGATCTGTGGAGGAAGCTCTGTAACAATGCACAAAGAGAAATGAGACCCACGCATACAGTCACAGTATATACTATAAGTGACATGTACAAAACAAACACTCACCGATGACGTAAACGTTGGTGTTGGTGAGGATGGTTCCGTGCTTGTTGGAGGCCCGACACTGGTATATGGCGGTGTCTCCAAAGTTGACGTCATTGAGGATTAGAGATCCGCTTGCTGTCAGAGTAGGTCTAGAGTCCTTATCTATTTCTGTTAGAAAGTACAGACTGTCAGTACACGCGCAGCGCCCGAGGCTGTGTGTGTCGAGGTAAGAGTGTGCAGGTGTGGGTGTGTGTACTCACCTGAGAGGGGGATTCCATTGATGGTCCAGCTGATGGTGGGAGTGGGGATGCCGTCTGCCTGGCAGTCTAGTCTGACAGTCTCACCTGGGGCATATAACTGACTGACTGGCTCCTTGGTCCAGTAAGGAGCAGCTGCAAGGCACGGGGAAAAAAAAATGTCTCTGTCATAGTCTCAAAAACAAAGCAGCTGTTTTACCAATTTAAAATAGTTATATTATTTTATAATCTATAAGAGAAAGCCTCAAATCATAACTCGCTTGCTGTATCTATACAACAATTTTTATGCATTATAAATCCATGAGAACAAATTCTAAAAAACTGCCAACTAATGGAAATAATAATGACATAGTGTATGTGTATGTGTATGTGACGTACCTTCCACAATCACGGTGTAAGTGTGTGTGAGCTTTCCTTGGGAGTTGTTTGCTCTACACTGGTACTCGCCCGCGTCGCTCTCTGAGATATTACTAAAACGCAGGCGGCGGTCGAACATATCTCTCATAGTTCGAGATTCGGACATCTCGCCGTCCTTCCTCAGCCACGACACGTCTGGAGTTGGACTGAAGAGGAGGAGAGAGGGGACGAGCACGATTAGCAAGAGTGGGAAAAATGAAGAGGGGGAAAAATGCAATAGAGGGAGGAAGACACGTAGGAGAGAGAGGAGAAACAGCAGTTGTGTGATGGTGGTTGCAAGTGAGAGGAAGTGGACATAAAGAATGAAGATGGCAGGCAGAGAGAGAAAGAGGCAAGCAGTGAGAAGAGGAGGAAGACGTGAAAACGAGAAGGCAGCATGAAGGAGAGTCGGCAGGAGACAGCAAAAGATAGAGAACGGAATGAAGAGAGTGTGGGGGAGGTTGGAGGAGGGGGGGAGAGATGGATGAGAGGCAGGTACGATTGATTAAGAGAAACGACTCAAGCTTTCTGATTGATGGGGGGAGAAACACATACATATGCACACACACACAGACACTCACAGGCCTTGGACGATGCACTCAAGCTCCACGGTGTCGCCCCTGAGGGTGTGGTAAACGCTATGGCTTCCAGTAGGTCTCATCATCTGGGGCCTCTTGCTCCGTACTACTGAGTTGGCTGGAGAAGGACAGGCGCAAACACAAAGACGGAGAGAAAGAATCATACATATGTATGGGTAATTTTCAGATTGCCATCCTGCTGACACAGCAGCCATTCTCATACGCACATACACACTCAGATGCAGGGTGTGGTGTCGCGCAGAGACGACTACAGCCTTTCTAGAGACTTAACCTTTCGAACAACACATCATCATACAGATTCTCTACATACACACAGAGGTCTCATGTTAACATGTGTTCATCTTTCTGACCTCTAGTTGGGCCACAGATGCTGGCAGCCACATCTCAGTGTGAGCTGCATCTCATTACCACTGGGCTGAGGTGGTGATGAGCCCCCCGCCGCTCTGGGACAGGCTATTGGATACGGTCGCTGCTTTGGTCAGCAAAACATGCCACCACATAGGGGTGATTTGACATTGGTTTAACTGTGGGACCTCAGTGGTTCTCAACAAATAGTCATGCTGACTATTTATCATGCAGTGTGATACACAACTACACAGTATTTTACTATAACTGCTGTACACAGTGGCAGCATGGCTCTACCCACGTCTTTGGTTAAAAAATATCTATTTAACAGTTGTCGGATGGCTTGCCATAGACACCCCTGGTCCCTGGAAAACAAATCCTTCTCACAGTGGTGATCCTCTGATCTTACCTCTGACAATGACATTTGTGGTTTTGAGATGCATTGCCATGAAGTTTGGGCTAGGTTGGTATGTTGCTGTATGTATGCAGCCTCACGGAGCTGCTGCAGACTCTGAGTCCTCTTTAACTTTTCACTGAAACTAATAAAAACTGTTGACAGTGTGTTCTGTCAAATGTTTCAGGAACGAGATGTTGCTGCTGAATTTTTAAAATGTAATTTATCAATTCTACGAACACTTCAGATGAAAATCCATTCAACTTTCATTACACTGAGGTGGCCACAGAAATCCAAACCGAAACTATCGGCGGTGGACAGTGTTCCCAAAACTACAGAACGGCACCACCTAACACTAAGTAATAAGAATAAATCAGAAGAATTCTCATTATTTTACATATAAATCAATGTTTTCCCATGAGCCTGACATCTAATTTAATTTTTAGAGGAAGTTCAGACGTTTTGTTTCTTACATGGCAATAACATTACTGAGAGCCAGTCTGCCTACAACCTCCTCCATCACATTTTGTTGGTTTGAATTTTGAACAGAGGTATTCTTAGCCTTAAGATGCATTTCAGGAACCGAGTTCAGTTCAGCTTAGATCATTTCGGTTCAGTCAAAAACCATTGGAGCTTCATTGATCCAGAGTAAAACTCACAGGGGGTGACAGTCAGAGTGATAGGTTCTTTTGCCAGAATGGTGCGTGTTGCCAGGTACTGGACGTTGCAGGTGTAATCCTCCCTGCTGTCCTCAGTTGTCAAATGGGCAAAGTATAGGTTGCCATCCTTACCCACCACCACTCGCTTACTAAGCTGGATATGGTGCAGCCCTAAAGAGAGAGGGAGAGAGGAAGTGGTAGAGAGAAAGACAGAGAAAATGACGACAGGTAGACACAGCCGAAAAAAAACGAGACACAAGGGAGAGATTCAAGAGTTCGACAATGGAATAAAATAGTGAGAATAAATGGTGAAGGGCGCGGTAGAGATATAAAAGGCTTAGAGAAATAGAAAAATCATAATAAAAGAGACGGCGGTGAACTGGGGTAAGAACAGATCCTGCTCAAACTTCAAAAAGATATATATTTTTTAAATTCATGAATAGAGAAATTGATTAAAAAAAATATTCTGAAAGAGAAACATTCAGATAAGATTGTTTCAGAAATAAATAATCAACTGCCTCTCTAAGTCTAAGTAGCAGATTTATTGAGGAGACAGGAAGGACGTAATGGAAGCAGAGATGGAAAGGTAATGTACTCACTCCAATCCATCCAGTGAATGATAGGCTCCATAGAGCTCTGCGGGGGGTTACACTTCAGAACAATACTGCTTCCCTTTTCCGACTTCACATTAACCTTCTTTTCTTTCTGCTGGGTCGGGGGAACTAAAGGGAGGCAAAGCAAGGAAAAAAAAAATACACACCTGTTAGTCTGCATAGATACACACAGGGGAAGTACACAAACATCTGTGCACACATTTACTGTGTTATGTAGGCTTGAGAGCTCCTGAGGCAATCCACATCACAGGTGAACTTGAACACACGATTAAGGGTACACACAGTAAGAACTATTATTCATACATTTTCATGAGAGGAACTTTTAAGGATTTGAGGATAAGCATCTTCAGAGAAGGCGCCAGGTTGTCTTTTGTCTTGCAGAAGCAGAGTGATGTGATTTGTGAATCATATGTGTTTTCCCCCTCCATCCCTGCCCTCCTCCTCCCTACTGAGTGCGTTGTATATGAGTCGGCGATTGGTCCTCCCTGCCGTTTCCACATGGGTTGATAACCCCATAGGAGCCACTGAAGAGTGCTTCACATGACATCAACTGAAGAGCGTTTCTGGGGAAACCGTTGTCAGGGAAACTGTGAAGGAAGGAGGTCGCCCAGGAGAGAGCCAGTCACACAGGTGGATGGATACACAGAGGTGCTCTACACTTTTGCCCAGGGGGACCATGTGTGTGTGCATGCATGTATGTGTGTGCATGTGTGTACCTGAATATATGCTGATTATCATGTTATTGCATGTAATTATGTTCTGTGTGGTGGTACTCGAAGGTCTCAGTGTGAGCCTCCATCTGCTAACAAATGAGCTCTCTATAAAGCAGGGCAAGGAAAAGGTTTATACGCTATCTGCGCTCACAGCTTTGTAAATTGCTGTTATTGCTGATAAAACCGACAACACACAGCTCGCGTCTAATCTGGACCTTGAAGGCATTTACAGGAGCTCTAGCACTGACACTGGCATCTATAAAAGATATGTAACTCCTCTAGTGTGCTGCTGTTTGTATGAAAACATATCAGAGGATGTTTGATTTGGCTGATCTTCCTTGAAAGGATGTGATTCCTCTCTCATGGCTAAAGCCAAATGATCAAGAAAAAACTCACTGAGCATGACTGAATTCAGATGTAAATGATCAAATCTAATGACGCTGTCTCAATAACTGGTCAGTGGCTGCTTTAGGATTAATCATTGATCAGTATGCAGTTACCATCAGTGCTGAGTATGGCCTCATTAGAGACGGCAGTCCCCAGCTCGTTGGATGCGTAGCAGACGTATTTGCCTTGGTACTGCTTCAGGGTGTCCATAGTATTACTGAGCGTGTAGAATGCGAATGAGCCAGTGTACTCGGAAACCTTCAGCTCTGGGTCGCTGCCTGGTTCAAATTCCTCTCCGTCCTTTGTCCATCGGAAACTTAAGCAAAGGAAAAAACAACAGAATCAGTAAGACTGATGTATGTCCATGCCTTTAAAAGCAGCTCTTAACACACACAAGATGTCCTTGCATGTCACTGCATTTGAGGACAAAAATGAACTGCTGCAAAATTTACACGAGATGCCCCAGTGGGACTCATAAGCGTGTGCTGTGTAATTGCGATATTCATCTCTTCCTTGGCAATCGGAGCAGTTTTCCACTTCAGAGCAGCTAAGACGCTCTGAAAAGATTGCTCGAGGGCTTAATGACATTTATCCCTTGTTGAAATGGGAAGTCTGACTGGGAGAAGCTGTGCTCTCATGTAATACTAATATGTAGATGTCAACCGAACAAGGAGAGGGAAGGTCGCTGTTCTCAGTTGTCTAAAAAGATAACCAAAGGCTTGTCTCCTCAATGACTAATACAGCATCTTCAGACTTGGACAAACCATGTTTTTTTTTTTTTTTTTTCTTCTCTCTCTCTCTCTCTGTTTGTGTGGATGTGTATGCGCTGACTAACATGGGTGGAGGGTTGCCGGAGGCTTCACAGCTCATGACGAGGTCTTCAACACTAAAGACGGTGACAGACTCCGGCTGCGTGGTGATCATTGGAGGCCTCTTGACTGCAAGGACCAAAAACAAAAAAAGGGTAGGGTTTTCACAACATTATCAAGCAGACATGCATGCACTCTAACACACCTGCAGGGTTTACCTGGGTAGAAAGACATGCACGCACTCAGAATGGTGCTGCAGTCTTTACCCTGCTGTATTCACATGATCTAATTTCATGCTACTGTAAAAACCTACACACATTTACTTTATCACTCCACTTTATCACACATATCCCTACGGCTGCCGGTAATGGCCTAGCAAACAACACAGAATAACTGGAGACACCACTCATTTCATAGTTTAACAGCTGTCCATAAGTATATTCAGTCAATATCACTTAAAAAGATTCCCCAGAGAATGCAATTAAATGTAGGCCGAGGAAAAGAGTGAGAGTAAGAGAGCAGGCAGAGAAAATGGGTTGAGATGAGAGGAAATTGATACAGCATAATGTAAGAGGGAGAGCTCATGTAAAAGAGATATATGGCACAAGCTACTTGTGAGACTGAGAGACAGGGAAACGGAGGGAGACAGTCTGTGGGGAAATGAAGCAGGGATTTTGAAGAAAAAAAAAAAAAGTAATGACCACCAGAAGAGGTTTCTCTTCCTCTGTCACCACTCCCCATAACAGCCATAAAGCAATGCCATGATAACAGACTCATAAAACCCAGCATGCTGGGATGTGGCATGAATACTGTATTGAACCAGCACGTTTGATTCTTACACATACTTTATGGCCCATGTCGTATTTTTATGTTCTGCTTTTCAATATTTATAGACAGAAATTTAAATCTTTTTCTCCACATAGTCTCAGTGACTATGCATATAGGCTGTTTGCAGTGGAATAGAGGTCACAGCTTGAGACTTGTTGGGAAAGTCTTTAATTTGACTTTAAGTGAAAGAGACAGAGCCCAAGACAGAGATTCATTTACATTATGTAGGTAAATGGGTAAAGGAGGACATAGGATGACGGGGGGGCTGTGGTAGATGAGAAGAAGGCGATGTGAGTTGGAGAGCTGAGCGAACAGGGAAGGGTGGAAGTGCAGCAAATAAAGAGCGCACACAGAAGGAGTAAAGCGAGACAGAGACAGAGGGAAAAAAACAAACACGGTTCAGAAAGAGACGGATAGGGAGAGTGAGGGAATTTAATGAAAGAATTCCCACTGATAGAAGAAATAAGCCCATTTCCTCAGCTGATCAAATTGAAGTTTGGGCTGCGGGCACTGCTCCATTATTGGCAGAGGAGGAGGAGAGGAGCTAGTGCTTAGTGCTTTAACTCCTCTTTATTTTTCCCCGTGTCTTTGATCTGACAGCCCTGCTGCCTCTTTACAGACAGCAGCTCCTCACACTTCCTCTTCCCTGCTCCTGCAGGGATCTCACCTACTGGGAGCCAACGAGGCTAAACACACACCCACATGCAGAAAAAGGCACACAGGAACAGGCGCATGTTCACAATACAACACGCACATCCTCACGTACGATCACAAATGCACAATAAAACACATCCTCCGAAACAGATGAGTAAACACGGACACAAGCATAACACTGCAAGAGCGCACTAATGCCAGATTCATCAGAGTGCAAGATGAGTTTTACTGTGTGCTGGATGGAAAATAACCTCTCTGGCATAATCAAAGTGTTCACAATAAGCTTTGCCAGCACCTGCATTAAGACAGATGCACATCAATAAAGATAAAAGCACTTACGATCACTTATGTGGTCTGTTAGTCCAAAGAGGAAAGGCAAGGAGGGAAACATATTTTAGTTGCAATAAACAAGAAGGAGAAGGAGATAGTTAAACACATACAGTAGATGCCAAACAGAGAGGTAATGTTTCTCAGATAATTGAACAACAATTATGATGCATGGACGATAAAGCAGTGTAATATCTCCTGCAGTGGAGCGTAACTTTTGACCCCGGCCTCCTTGACACAGATTCTAATGCATCTCCTTTATCGATCCTGATCAATCAGTCCTCACTGACTCTCACTGACATGGCAGAGGCTCGCTAATTGAAAGGCATGCGACACCTTGACCTTTTACATCTTTGACCTGCTCCTCCTTCCACCTCCTCATCATCCTCCCTTCATCCTTGTCCGGCCCTCTCACCTCCGTGTCACCCCGTCCCCTCGGGAATTAGTTCAGGAGATTTACTGCATTTCATCAACATTTATGGGGTAAATATATGTGTGTGTGTGTGTGTGTGTGTGTGCGATTACGTGTTTGTATACACACACACTTTTATAAATCTGTGTGGGTGGTGAAGGACTGTGACTCATTGCAAGCAGTCTTAGATAAAGAGTGAACAACAAAAGCAATACTGGAAACGATATTCTCTCTCTCTCTCTCTCTCTCTCTCTCTCTGTCTCTCTCCCTCTCTCTCCATTGGAGCTCTGTGGGCAGGCCAGCAGTAGCAGCAGAGGAGATGAAGATCAATTTCCCTGCAGGGCCACAAGCTCAGCTGTATTCCTAATGCCCACATATTGCATCGACGAGGAGGAAGAAATGAGACCAAGCAAGAAAAGCCTTGCTGGATTATTGTTGTATAACTCAATTGTTGATTAAATTACTCCCCAATCAGATTCTGGTTTGCACCAAGGAAACCAGATCAATAGTGGGACTAATCAATGCAGAATGAAGGGATCAATTACAGAGTAATTAGACACACCGCAGGCACAGATGAGTACTAACCAAAGAGGCCTCAAACGGTGTAGTATTTCAAGCATAAAAGCACAATCCAACCCTGAATATTGAGGCTACTGAAAGAGAAACATGCTCATTCTGCTCATTTGCACTAATTAATCATGATGAAAGATCATTAGTAGCCTGCTTTGATGAATCAACAATGTAATTAGCACAACAAATAGATATTTGAACCTCATGGAAACATTCAGCTACCATTGTTATGAATGGTGCGATATAAATCGGTACTCACAGTTGGAGGGTATGTGTATGGCTGCATGGCTGGGCCGGGCAGCAAGGGATAGGAGGAGGAGGAGGAAGGGGAGGAGGCGGGAGGAGCACTGCCCCCTACTGCCAACCTGCTGTCGCTGCGTGTGAGGCATTGCTCACTGTCCCATCAAAGTCCCACCTGCTCACACGCACGTACAGTAAAATACACACAGAGGGCAACCTCACACACACACACACTCGTGCTGAGCAAGTGTGAGGCTATGTTTCGCTTCCAGGAGGCCTCAGCTTTGCCTCGTACGCCTTTGGTCCCTCTTGTCTTCTCTCCTGTTTTTTTTTTTTTTTCCTCCTGTCTCCTTGTTTAAGGAAGGTCCACGCCCTCCTGCTGGTTTCTTTTCTGTAAGATAAAAGACGGGGGGGGTGAGGGGAGGAGAAGAGGAACAGGGAGAGGGAGGGGCAGAGAGGGGCCATGTGTCAGAATGGGAGAAAAATTACCCTGCACCATGTGGTCAGACCTATAGACAGACCGAGACATGGAGTTAACACACCAATCAACAGTCAACAATAAGGACTCCAACAAAAAACACCAACAATGCCTATCACTGAGCCTGTTCCTGCAACAAAAAAAAAAAAAAAAAAAAGGAAAAATTTTCCATTTGGTTAATTCTGTGAGCAGAGGCCCATATGGAAGGGCCACAACAAGAGCCTCCCAGAACCCAGATGGGCTGTGGACAGACAAATGCTGATTGATGAAGTCTCAAATCAGATAATACGCAAGACAGACAAACAAATAGTTGATAATTAGGTTGTCTGTTCAGGCCTTCATTGCACGAACTTAACAGATCATAGTGTACTTGGGCGAGAGTGCTGTGATAAGTGTGCGATAAAGATGCTATCAGTCATGGTGAGTGAGGCAAACCACCCCTGCTAGGAGTCTATCCGTTCTCCATCTGTACTCTTGGAGCCGGTCCTCGCCACAACATGCGGGCTGTCCTCCCCCGCGGCACCACGTGGCGCAGCCCACTGACTGTTTACACTACTCGCTATCACACACAAAGAACTGTTATAGCACACCATGATTGAGACGTACATGTGAGACAAAAGAAAATGACGACAATAGAGTGAGGGCGCTTATTTGGCAGCTCTGCAGTAATGGCAGCCTGATTGAAAGAGATTTGGCTCTGCACGGTGCTGTTTGTTTAGAATGCCAAACCAGAGTGATGGGTGACCTTGGAGAGCGTGAAAAGGTCAGACAGGAGAGGAGATGAAGATGATGGAAGAGACTGAGGACGAGAAGAGGATGGAGAGTGGTGATTATCATTCATTTTCTTTTTTTCTAGTGGGTAATGGCTGGCCAGTTAATTACTGTAGATATTTCATATGTCAATCAACGGAGAAGGCATTGAACAATATCTTAGAAAGAGAAACAGGAATGTGGGATTGTCTACATCAAAAGAGCCAAATTAGATGAAATTAAAGACCAAACAAGAGCTAAGCCCTTAATAAGGGAGTTTAAACTAACAGCATTTGGATTAAATGAGCCATTACACTCACTTGCTTTGCCTTGTCGGAGGACTGGCACAACAAGCAAACTGAGAGGGAGGAAAGGGAGGGGTTAGGTGGGTGGAGGGCTTCTGGGGAGAATGAAAAGTGGAAAAGTGGGTTTGAGCAGGAGAGCAGAGGAGAGGGAGAGGTGGAGGTGAGCGAGGAGAGAGGTACAGTGAAAGCAGGGAGGGTGGGAGGTGATGGGAGGAGTGGAGAGATGTGGAAGGAGGGGAGGAGGAGGAGGAAGAGGAGGAGGAGGAAGAGGAGGAGGAGGAGGGATGACAAAGGGTGACAGCTGTGATGCTAATCCTATCCGTCCACTTGCACGCGCATACAAACATGTGCAAGCTCCTCCAATCAGTGTGCATTATTTACTTCTTGATTCTGCATCTCCTTTTCCAGTCCCTTCACCAGACCGAAGCTGCTTTAGTTGTTCTCTGGAGACAGGGGGCCAATTACAGTGATCCGGTCTTAAACCGGCCTCTCCAAAATGCCATCAGAGTCACATGAATAAAGCAGACCTAGTCAGGGTATTAGTACTGGTGTTAATGTGATCTAAGGTGGGTGCTTGTCTATCACGGCCCCTTCCAAGGAGACGGCAAAGGAGAGCTGAGTGGAGCGAAACAGGATGCTGATTAACAGTGTGGCGGGCTGTGGCTTGTCACGACGCCAATCACAATTCACTAAGGGACAGTGCTGCATGTGTACAAGCCAGCACACACACACACACACACACACACACACACACACACACACACACACACACACACACACACTCAGACAGACACTCGTGGGGAGACATACAAATAAGCTTGTAATGCATGGACGGACAGACAGTAAGGAAGGCAGGCAGACAGACGCGCGCACACACCTCGAGTGGTCTGACAGAAGAGATCAGACAGATAAAGGGGAATGGTCCAGTGGGCTCCAGTCAGGAGGTAGATTGTGCCACAGAATATTCCAGTCATGTTGAGTAGGAGCAGTAAAGGGGAACACTATAATGGGTTGGCATGGGTGTGACTGGGTGAGGGAACGGCTGAGACAGACAGACAGAGAGAGACAGAGAGAGAGAGAGAGGGAGGTATGGATGGTTGCCATGTAACAGGGCCAACCCAGCCACCCAAACATTCTGATAGCACAGCCTGATGTGGTCTAAGACACACTCACACAAATACACACACACACACATACACACACACACATTCACACAGGCACACTTCCACGCTGTGCACACGGCATGGCGCCTTGTGGCCGCTCCATTATCACAGGGGTGAGAGACATTGACAGTGAAGCAGATGCCTGATTTCACTTCTTCAGGGTGTCCGCTGTGCAGCTGTCAACGATCCAATCCCAGCCCTGTTACCTGCTTCATTGGACAGGGTCAGAGGTCACGCCTGGGATGGCTGCCTGCAGCTGGGCTGAGATGACCCCTCACAATGTTTCTGAGTGCTTTTAAAAACTATTATCACTGCTGGGATGTCGACGGGCGCCATCAGAAGTCGTTCAATCACAGTGAAATTGTAGAGTGTGCAGAGATTTGAGGGCGTGGTCATTTCTTTTTTTTCCGCAAGAAAGCCTGACCGCGGAAAATTAGCCACCAGCAGGCCGTGTATCAAGCAAGTCGAATCAACCCAGTCCATTTTGCTACTCTTCAATTATTCATGGGTTCCTGCTTTGAGGCGTTTTGCTTATAAAAACACAAATAACCCAGACATCGTGTATGAAGATGTTACTGTCGCTATCATTAGTTGACTTTAATTGCTGCACTACCATTGTGATGTGTATCCACCTTGTCATCCATTAGATAAAAAATTACACCCTTCTGTCCTCTGCAAAATGTAGTAATTAGCATTAAGTAAACACGTTGGGCGTTGCCAAGGACTTCAAATGCTGAACAGGCTCTCTTATCTGTGTGTGTATCTTTGTGTGTGTGTGTGTGTGTGTGTGTGGTGAGAGGGCAAAACACCCAAGATCAAATCTCAAGAGTCAAATCATGTTCGGAGTTTCACACACATATTCTGATCTCCGTCGTGCAAACCACCCACACACAAGAGACACTTTTACTGTTTGCTTCATATCATCATGCATCTGTGTGAGGAGCTGATGTGTTGATGAATGTAGCCTGGTATGTTTTCTCTCGACACAGCGAGTATATTGCAAATATCAATTCTGAAAGCCTCAATGTACTTTGATCTGATGTGTTGCTCTACTGGATTCTACTGTGTGTTTGTGTGTGTGTGTGTGTGTGTGTGTGTGTGTGTGTGTGCATGTTCAAACATGTGTGCAGGTCTTGCGTCCTGTCATGCCTTGCTTTTAAATATTAACTACCTCCAGCTGTGAAGATGTGTAGGGGGAGAGGACGCGGGATGGAAGGAGGGGGGAGTAAAATAAACGAATACATGCCCCCCTTTACCCCCTCCTCTTCCCCCAGGGTTCGTCTGTCTGGAGAAACATCAGGCTGCAAAGAGACAGACGGAAGGACGGGGAAAAGGTAGTGATTTCGACATAAACAAAGAGGGTACTCACTGAGACAAATGGACTGACAGAGTTATGGCGTTACAGGAGAAGGGCAGTGAGAGATTATGAGGGTCAATGGATAGCATAAGTGAGGAGGGGGGTTTGAGGAACAAGGTGGTGCTGGTGGGGGGTTGATGATCGGGCCCCCTAAAGAGTGAATTATTCATAGAAATCCCCTTCCTGTCGGCACAATTTGCCCTAAATTCACCCAAATTCATAATTCATTTGCACCCCTTCACCATACATTTGCTTTGGTCTCAGACTGATGCTGTCCATCTATACCTGGTGTCTTTGGTGCGGCTGTCTCATTCTCTCCTTCGCCCGCCTCCCTTCTTCCTCTCTCTGGCAGGGTCATACTTAATGCATGAGCCTGTTGCAGTGAGACAAGTCTCAAACCCACTTTGTCACTACAGCAGAAAAATACCACAAATCATGTGAAATAATACTGGCTACCTGTTTCTTGTCTGCTCGGCGATTCACTTATTCACATTATTTAATCATTCACCATGGCGAGGAGCGCATTTCATACAGGCCTCATTTTCTCAGTGTTGCTACTTATGAGCCGAGTCTTATAAGAACTGTCCAAGAACAATGAGAGCCCATTTTCCTGTCATCTTTTTATTGGTCTTCTTCTCCTTCTCAAACCCTTGGTAGCTGACACTAAAAGCTTTCTTCAACAATCACCTTTCACAATTTGTTTCATAGTCACCCCCCCCCCTGCTTGTCTTGTTTTCCATATTCAAAGCCTTTTCTCAATTTAATAAAGTGCTGTGGTAGCACTCTGGCTTGGACAATAGACATTGCAGCCTATTAATTCAATATTTACAACTTTAATAGAAAAGCTGCTGTGCAGCACAGTGGGAAACCAAAACTGCTCTCATGCCGTTACTCTTTGTTTAAAAGGCAGAGTGACATGTGCTTCAAGACTGATGATCCATGGTCAACTCCAAGTGAAAATTTAGCAGTGGAAAAAAAAAGCTGCAGCTCTACAGCTTATCTGGAATCAGGCTACCCAGACCGCACATTTATCAATACCGCTATTAGCATAAGCTCGGCCGTTAGATACTTTGCTACTCCCACTCCCACAGATGCGGTGATAGAACCCATGCCATATTTCCCGCAGCTTCCAACGCCTGCACGTCTTTCGAGGACCCCACCTCACCCCGCCCCCTCCCGGTTTTGTCAAGGGTTAGGGGTTAATATTGGAGTGACACAAAGCTGGAGAAAATAAAGGTTGTCAGAGGAGCCGTGAGGGCAAACCGCCCACACTCTCTCCATCCTGGTTGCCATGACAACAGGGTCTCCACATATCACCCCCCCCCCCTTGCACATACA